GATAGGAGGCGGGGTTCTGCTGTCTAGCTATCTCTCTGTAGCTGGCCCCTTTATACAGGTCCCTGAGCCTAGGTAATCTTGGCCTTTCATGATGGGGAGAAATGTGCATGTGCCCAGCCATGCTGACAGGCATGGTTTTCAACCATTGTTCCAGAGGGGTCTGTAGATGGTAGAGACCAAAGGAAGTGCCTGACTGAGAGAGAGAGATTGCACATGAAGGCAATGGAGGACTCAATTCCTTGACACCACACACAATGTTCACGATGAAGAGAAGCCAGGCATGTGATAGCTAGGTCATCAGTCAGCCCAAACTACACAAGTTCAGTGTGTCATTGCAGAGACCCAACTTGGTTTGACTTCAGCCATCTTGAGATGCAGCCATCAAGAGTGGTCATGAGAACACAGGGGGGTGGGCCTAGGCCCCATCCAAAGGATAAGATAGACTCTGATGACACCCTATGGAAGGCCTCACCATCCAGGGGGAGCAGAAATGATATGTGATAGGTAGGGTGTTAGTTGGGGGGGGGGATGGTAGGGGAGGACGGGAGGGAGAAGGGAACTGGGATTGTCGTGTAAAACAATCTTGTTTCTAATTCAAATAAAAGAATCTGCACAAAAGAAAAGAGGGGTCATGAGAAATCCCACCCTGCTTTCCCTGTACCATCTCCCTGCCATTTCAGTGGCACATGGTCGTTACCTCAGGACTCTGTGCTGTCATTGTTAGAAATGTGCCTGCTGTCCTCAATGTCAGTGAGACAAGAACATCCACTCTCTGGCTATGGTGAATGTCCATTATCCTGCTCACCCCACAAGCCCTCCCTCTAAGCCCTGGCAGGCCACCTGGCTTCCTGCTTCCCTTGACCTCACATTGCCTATAGCTCCCCATTAAAGACTATAGTAGGTGGCATCCCAGAACTTTTTATTTCTTTGTCCCATGCCACTTTCTCTTGCATAGTTGACTGCTATCCATTTCCCCCTGAACTGTCAATGACGTTTATTCAACGAGAGTGCCTGAACTGCATGCAGTACCCCTCCAGGGGCAACAGCTGCAGACAGAGTCCTGTTGCCTGTCACTGGTGTTCAGCAAGGACAGACTGGTCATAGATCCTCCTCTGCACTGTTCTTCCTTTCACATGGTCTGTCTCTCATGTCTCTTTCAGGGAACCCTACTCATCTTTGAGCCTCCCCCGCACCCTGTGTGTTGTGTGTGTGTGTGTTTGTCTCTCTCTCTCTCTCTCTCTCTCTCTCTCTCTCTCTCTCTCTCTCTCTCTCTCTTTTGATTTTTCAAGACTAGGTTTCTCTGTGTAACAGTCCTGGGTATCCTGGAACTCACTTTTTTGACCAAGGTGGTATAGGACTCACTCAGATCTGTCTGCTTCTGCCTCCCAACAGGTCTTTTTCCATTAGCTTTTCTTCTTTAATCATTATTTTTATTTTAAAATAATCTTTTCTCATTTTATTACCAATCTCAGTTCCCACTCCCACCCTCCTCCTGCTCCCCCCACTTTCCCTTATCCCATCTCCCCTCTACTCCTCAGAAAGGGTAAGGCTTCCCATGGGGAGTCAACAAAGTCTGCCACATGATTTTGAGGCAGGACTAAGTCCCTCCCTGTGGTTTCTGTGCTGAGCAAGAAATTGCTCTAAAGAGAATGGACTCCAAAAAGCCAGTTCAAGCACTAGGGATAAATCCTGTTTCCACTGCCAGTGGCTCCACAAACTGTCCACACCACACAACTGTCATCCACATTTAGAGGGCCTAGTTTGGTCCTATGCAAGTTCTCCTCTGTCAATCCAGAATCAGTGACCTCCCATTAGCTCAGATCAGCTGTTTTTGTGGGTATCCCCAAAGTGGTCTTGACCTTTTGTTCATTTTATTGCTCCTCCCTCTCTTGGACTGGATTCTGGGGCCTCAGCCCAGTGCTTAGCTATGGATCTCCACATCTGCCTCCATCAGTTGCTGGATGAAGGTTCTAGGACTATAACTCAGGTAGTCACTAATCTGATTACAGGGGAAGGCCAGTTCATGCACTTATTCCACTAATGCTTAGGGTCTTAGCTGTGATGATCCTTGTGGATTCCTGGGATTTCTAGTTAAGCTTTTCTTTTGTTAAGATCACTTCTAAACCATTTATTTGCTTGCTATTTACCAAGCTTATTTTATTGTTGATTTAAAAGGAGCAGTTACTATTAGAGATCAGTTATGTCATTCATTTTGGTAGATTATGCTATTTTCTATTTTCATTGGAAATCGGTTATTAAAGTGGGAAACCAGCAAATATGCATCTAGATTTTTGAAAACTTGTATGGGACAGGAGATAATGAGATTGATGTTGTTTAGTTGGTAGGCTAGAGGCAAAGGGACCAAGTACTGTTGACACATGTTTTAAAGTATATTGCACTTTTAATAGTTGATGCTGAAAAATTACTCTCAGGGGCTTGGAGTGTGTCTTGTGCTAGATAGATGCAGCCATGTGAGTTCAGGTGAGAAGTTCATGGTACTTATCTGTGAAAAGCAAATTCATTTCCAGTGGCATGATAAATCATAGAAAACGAAGTGAGAGATCTATTTTTATTATGGATCACTTTCTATTGAGCAGCTGCTTCACTTTCCCCACCATCCTTTAGCTGCATGAATTGAAAAAACTTAAACCATTGGAAATAGCTATATAAAAAGCTACCCATCAAATTATATTATTATTTCACACTGAATATCTCCAATACATTCCTAACATGGAATTAAACAAGAAAATATAGAAGAAAAAAAAGATCACTTTTAAAACCTGAAATACATTATTACATCACATAAATTCATTTTAAATATATTAAATATATCTCTATGTTGAATATTTTGCTACCTACTAAATTACTTTCATCACCCAAAAAGTAATGCTGTATCTATGAGAAGTCACAAGAGGCCATCTCAATACTCCCCCTGCATCCACTGTGGCTTGTCTCTCTCCTTCCCAAAAGATGGGTTTGTTCCTAGGTGGGCAGAACTATGGAGGTGAGGGGACCTGGACTGGAAGGCTGCAGGGAACTATCTAGACACTGGACACCTAAAGTGGTCATTCATTCAAAGGGATATGAATGACCTTCTAGGTTCCAGAACCTGGAAGACAATGACAGAGGTAAAGGCTCTTCAAGTAATCTATGTCCCAAAGGGCCAGACTCACAGAGTTAGGAGAGAATACAAGGGTTCAAGGTCAAGGATATGGTGAGCTCTGGTGATGGCTCTTGAGTTAGTTAAGGGACAGAGGCTGAGCACCTGGCACAGCGTTCACCAACATGGTACATGGCTCAACAGCAAGAGGACTCAATGAACTTGGTCACTGAGGAGCAAGTTGCTAGGCAGATCAGGACACAGATAGCTTTCTTTCCCAAGTTCGTCCAGGACTCCATTCTCTCACTACTCTGCACTCCCAGGGAGGTGGTTACAACCACATCAAACTTTCCCTTAGCCAGAGGATCCAGCCCAAGGAAGGAAAGAAGAGGTAGAGGAACACATGAATGATCCTCTAAAGGAAAAGACTCAGAATTCACACAGGTCATCTCTGAGCCAGTGTTCAGAACTTGGGAAAAAGGGTGCTTGAGCTGCAAGGGAGAGAGGACACTGTTATTATTTTGTTTAAAAAGAAGAAAAGAGAAATGCTGAGACAGACATAAGACTATAAGTTTATTATAAGGCCCGGCAGAATGGGGAGACTAAGAAGAGGAACAGGGTAAATGGCTGACCGCCATGGCCGGTGGCCATAGAGAGACAGAGCGGGGAAACAGAGAGAGGGGACAGAGCGCACAGAGAGCGGGAACAGAGAAACAGAGGAACAGAGAGCATAAATGGGCAGGGGCCTATCTTTTAAAGGGGTCCTCTGCACCTGCGTGCAGACTTAGTTCCCATGGAACCTTGCGCTGACCAGGGTTCTGCCTGAGTGGATTCCACCAGGTAACAGGGGCAGGCCAGCATAATGCCTGAACCTTTCAGACACCACTCAATGTTGCAGTCTCAGGGTGCATCTGTGGTCAGAAGGAAAGGGCAACAAAAAGAAGGAAAATGGTTCTTGTATAAATTTGAAATATTCTTGATAAACCACAAGAGAGAAAACAGTTTTTAAAAGAGATGATAAAAATCAAGAGGCATTTATCCACTTTCTATATTCAGCAATCTAGAAAAACATGATACTATTTGCAGAAAAGACACAAACCACAACGTGGTCAGTGTTTACAAATTTATTCTTCAAATATAATGGACCAAGTGAAGCCTTCCTGTGCATGTCAGCAAATCTCATGCAAGTAGAGCAGATTTTAAACTTCAATAGGAATTAAACCTTGAGATTTCCCCAAGAGTCTGGTAGCAGAGAGCAGAACTCAGCAGCCATATCCTGTCACCTCTCCTTCCTCATAGCATCCACAGCTGCCAAGTAGGACAAAAACCTGTGATGACTGTGCAGATGATGTTCCATGAACTCTTTCATTTCTACCATCTTTGCATGTCCCCCGGGGCTCCCATCACTACCTCAGGACAAACCATGCACAAAGAAATAGGGTTCACATCCAGAGACTGATTGCAAGATGTGAAAATATTTGAGAAAACACAGAGTTAGGCCAAACTGTGAAGGAGGAGACAGTCTCTATGCAAACCACCAGAAAGCAGTGGGAAAGTGGGTGAGCCTCAGCTAGGAGCAGTGTGGGGGCATGACTGAGGAGTAGCCATGCTGTTGCATAGTCATGACTTGGATGTGCTCCCCACACTGGGACCTTGGTCCTTATGTGGGATGTTGTAGATTGTTGTATCTAAGAGGTGTAGTATAGTGAGGTGTGTGTGTGAGGGTGGGGGTCACAGCCTGTTCCGGATTCAATTCTCTCAGTGTGGCCTCTCCCTCTAGCAGGCACTGCCACCATAATAGCATTGCTGTTGAGGGGATACAGTCAGGAGTTATCATGTGTGCATGGCTCTGTCCAGTACATCCCCCACCCCCAGTCCCCTGAGCTGCACTAAGAAGAGGTTACTGAGTCAGGCTGTCATGGACCTGGATGAGTTCCTGCAACTTCTGCTCCAGGTCCCGAGCCTGCTTCCTCAGCTCAGCAGCATAATCTGCCTTTGCACCCTCATGCAAATGCTTTGAGGCTTCCACAAGGCTGACCACATCCATCACAAGGGAGAGGCCTGAGTTGGCTGCACCCATGACCCGGGCTCTTCTGGTCATCGCCAGAGCAGTGCCTCCAAAGGATTTCTGCACCTGTCTTGTTTTTCGGGCTGACACTGCCCCAGTTGTCATGAGACGCTTGGCATTATTAGCTAGGCTAGGGGTGGCTTTGGCCAGATTGATGGCATCAATGTTCTTCTTGATGACTTCCAGATCCTGGAAGGATTTCTCATATACGGAAGCAAGCCCGGGGGTGCTCTTCTCCAAAACTTCTTTAATGGTGTTCGCTGTGTCTTGGTTGGTTGGCCCCAGCTGGCTGGCTTCAGCTTCCGCTGACGCTGTGCTTACCGTTTCCACAATGCTTGTGGAAACACTCGTCAGAGCTGCTGCTGCTCCCAGACCCAAGCCTGTGGCTGAAAGTCCCAGACTGACTCCTGCTGTCACAGGTGCAAGAGCAAAACCGAGGATTTTTAGGACTTCAGACACAGCACTGGTGGAGCTGGCCACCACTTGTGTGATGGTGCAGTCCCTGTGCACCTTGTCAACCTTGTCTGCAAGGTCATGGAGCTTCCTGATGTGCTGCTCAAGCTCCAGTTTCACCTGAGGATAAACATCCAAAAACCTCTTCTGCACCTCAAGCTCTCTTTGGAGATCATATTCATCGTCTACATCACTATTCACTATGGTGTCACCAAGAGCTTCACTCAAGGCTTCTTCCTCATCCCTGTAACAGGAGAGACCCACTTAGTGAGGAACACAGCTTGTAAAGTAAGCTCTGTCCTGTGGAAATCACAGAGCATTTGTTGTGATGAAATGAAGGAGAGTGTTACAGCTGTAGAGGATCTTTCCTTCATGATGAGCAGGTTTGACCCAACATTCCATCTTTAATTGTTAAGGACACAATGTATTTAAAAATGACCACAATGTGTCCTTTTACTTGTTAATTTAATGTGTTTGAGTGTTTTGCATGCAGTGTGTGTGTGTGTGTGTGTGTGTGTGTGTGTGTGTGTGTGTGTGTGTATGTGTGTGTGAGTATGTGTGTGTGTAGCATGTGCAAGCCTGGTGCCAGTGGAGGCCAGAAGAAGGAATTGGATTCTGGACCCCGAATTACAGACAGTTGTGAGTCACCATGAGGCTGCTGGGAACTGGACCTCAGTCATCTGGAAGAGCTTTCAGTGCTCCTAACCCCTGAGCCATCTCTAGACCCTTAACACACCCTTTGTTGCTAGACATTTAATAAAGATGCCTTCCCCTCAAGGTCAAGGTCATCATTACCAACATCCTTCTCTGTAGAACTCTAAAAGAAACACAGAGGAGTGAGGTTAGAGAAAAACTAACCCTTTATTTTAGCCAATGAGATTGTTCTCAGAAGAGTTCACTGTTCCCAAAGAAAAGCCTCCTCTTGTCCTCATCTGCTGGGACCTGACCTTCCTGCCCTGCAGTGTCCAGCTCCTCAGAGATGTCCACGTTAGTTAGGGGACTTGGGATTTGAAGGTCTGCAAATTGTACATCACTAAGAGAGAAACCCTACATGGGACATTGTTTAAGCTGCATGTCTTTTTGCACTGCAGGTGTGTGTACACTGAGCTGATGTGGCCTCTCACAGGAAGACCCATCCACTCAAAACAGCACTAAATTCCTTCCTGCTGTGAGCAGAAGATATAGAAACCTGAGTAGATTCCTCATTTACATGTGGGTCCCATCCCCAGGAAATCTCACTGTGCCTCTGCAAGTGTTTCAGTAGCAGGCAAAACTGAGAACTCAAACTAGTTCCCTAGCCCTCCCTGAATGAGATTTCTCAGTCTGAGAAAGGTGATGTGTGGTGGGACTTTGCTGTCATTTCTGACCTCCAAAGGAAGTAGACACCAAGGGTGTGAACTCTAGAAAGGATAAAATACTGTTGGGCCAATAGAGGTAGGAAGATAGGCAGGTCTAGAAGACGAGGAGAATTCTGGGAAAGGAAGGCAGAGAGAGACACCATGAAGGGATGCCATGTAGACAACTGGAGGATAGAATGCACCAGGCATTCTCCATTGAAATAAGGCCACATGGAAATATGTATATTAGTAGTTATGGGTTAATAATTAAGACAGAGCTAGCCAATTAGAAGTCCTAGCCATTGTCACCAGTTTTATAATTACTGTAGTGTCTGTGTATTTATTTGGGGAAAGGCATCTGCAGAACGTGGCAGAAAGAAAATCCAGTTACAAGTTCCAGGTCGATAAAGGTGATTGTTTCTTTTAAAGGAGCTTAGGGATGCTTAATTCACTCAGATCATGCACTTCTCTTGCAGAAAAAGTGGCTTTGGTTCTCTGCACCCACACTTAGTGCCTCACAGTGGCCATGAGGGGATATGAGGTCCCCTTTTGTCCTTCATGGATAACCCTGTGGATTAGGGACCTCACTCATGCCCTGGCTTAATTTCAATACTTTGGTTGCTTAAAAGTTCTATGTTCAAATACAGCCACCTTCGTTAGGTTTTTTAAAATTAGTTTAGAGACACAACTCAGTCCCTCCCACTAGTGACACCATTAAAATGGCTCACATGGCTGGTGCTCATAAACACATTTAAACAGCTTGTCCCTGATGCCATTCAAGTTCTTTTCTTTCTTTTTCTTTTCTTTTGTTTTTTGTTTTTGTGGTTTTTTTTTTTTTTTGAGACAGGATATGTCTATGTAGCCCTGGATGTACTGGGACTTGTTCTGTAGACTAGACTATCCTGGAAATCTCAGAGATCTCCCTACCACTGCCTCCAGTACTGGGATTAAAGCTGTGTGACACCACTGTCTGGCACCATTCAGGCTCTTATACACAGTCCCCTAACTCTGTTCTTTTTTTCCCAAACAAAGAGAAAAAGCTCATGGAGTCTGTGGCTGAGTACCTCTCTGTCTTCTCCTGCAGGTCATTTTGGAGCATGTCTCCATCTTCTACATCAGGATCTGCAAAAATATCACTAAGAGCTTCATGCAAGGAAATTTCCTCTTCTCTGTAACAGGAGAGACAGATTGAGTGAGGAAGACAGCTTGTAATATAAGTTCACTCAAGTGCAAGAAGGATACACCCAGGCACATACACACAATTTAAAAACAAAACCTTAGGTAAAAATCAACTTTCAATGAACACCTACTATGTGCTGGCCTGTATGAAGGCCATATAATGAACCCTCCATATGTATCCTCTTATTTTTCTTACAATGAAGTGCAATGCTCTTCAAATAAAGCAGAAGGTGATAAACTAAGTTCTCATGGTCAGAGGAACAGCCATGGAAGCAATAATCTTGTCCCCTGTGGTTATTACATCCCATCAATCAGAAGCTGTTCCCTGCTACTAAACAGCATCAATGTAATATTTCCTGAGAAGGGACACACTGGACCCCAACTACTTGTTCTTCTTGGGCAGAATATTCCTGTCCAGAAAAAGACAACAAAGCATGGGCTCTGGTGGCATTGCTAGCATCCACTAGGGAGGTGACCTGGACAAACCAGTTCCTTCCACAAGCTGTTTCCAGGCTTCCTCTTCAGTCAGCAGGAACTTCAGAGCCTCTGTGCTCCTTGTGTCCAGGAGGTACGCAACCATAGACTCAAGGAAGAGTTTTCTCTCTAGATGGGTAAGAAAAAGAATAGGGTCAGGTGACCATGCATAAGAACTTGAATGGCTTCAGGAACAGCTGGTTAAATGTTTTTCTCAGCATCTGTTCCTTGAGGTATCATTAGTGGTAGGGGTTGAGTTGTGTCCCTTAACTCATTTGTAAAAGCTCTAACCCCAGGTGACTCTATTTGGGAACAGAGCTGCTAAGGAACCAAGGGAGGTTGAGTGAGGACACCAATACTATGGATATTAGTGTCGTCATAGCAACCAGGAGAAACTCCCTCTCTCCCTTTCCCTCCTTCTCTATCTTCCCTCCTCTTCATTACTCTAAGTAGAGTCTCTCTTCTCTCCAGATACATAAGAGAGGCCATGGACCAGCACAGAGTACAAGCTCCCTCTGCCAACCAGGAAGAGAAGGCTCCCCAGTGCCAAACTGCCTCACTTTGAATGTGGATGTTGTATTCCAGAGCAGTGAGGAGAAATCTTTTATTTTTAAGCCACCTACCCAATGTAACTTAGTGATGGCATCCAGAGAAGACCAATGTACCATAGCTGTGTCATTGTGTTTTTGCAGAGACAAGTATAGTTTTCAGCTCAGAACAAGTTGGAAGTTAGTCTCTCTTCCCCAGGAAGAGGGAGAGTCCAATGATGGTTTCTTTTTACTGTGTGCCCTTGGCACAGTCCTTGAATGTGACTTTTATCCTTGATTTTTATGTAATGCATAGGAATATTTGCCTGCTTGTATGTTTGTCTGTGCACCATGTGAGTGTCTGGTGCCCAAGGAGGGCCTTGGATCCCCTGGAGTTGCAGTTACAGACTGCTGAGACCCTGATGTGGGTGTTGGGAACTGAACCCATGTCTTCTGCAAGGGCAGCAAGTGCCCTTAACTTCTGAATCACTCTCCAGTCCCAAAGGTGACTTTTGAAACTGGAATGGTGAGTTAATTATTCTGAGTTTCAATCCACTGGACTAGTAAACATCTTGGAGATCAGTGGCCCTTATTTGGGTGGTTTGTGAGGGAGCTTCCATATAGAAGTAGATCCTAAGTGATCTGAGCCAATGAGTGGTTCAAAGGCTGAGGTGAGGCACCATGGGAAGTGGGGCCTGGCTGGAGTCAGGAGGGCTTCTGGAATGTGTCTTTGGGGCTGATGGATATCTTGCCTTGGCCCTTTCCTGTTACTGCTTTTTGTGAGCTGCCACCCCTGCCTCCCTTCCAGGATGGATGAAAATATGCTACATTACTGGCAAATACTCTGTCGTCATTGGTTACAACCATGAGAAAGTGAGAAACATCAGTCTGAAAAACTGACAGACAATGAGTAAATGAATGAATGGAAGACGGAGCCAATGGAAACGCAGCCGGGCACAGTGGTGCCTGTAGGGGAAGCTGTAGGCAGCCCACTTTAGGTGCCTGCCTTCCATCCCAGCACCCGGAGACTGATCCAGGAGAATCGCTGTGAGCTCCATCCCAGGCTGGTCTACACAGAGAGTTCCAGAACAGCTAGAGATACACAGTGAGACCCTGTCCTGGAAAACCAAATCCAAAACCAGATCTAAAAAAGAAATGGAATTGACAATACCAGAGGAAAGAACAGAGGAAGAGTATTCCTGGATTATGCTATGCATGAACATATGTACAACCACATGCATGCAAACACTTAGCTCATTCAGAATTTAGATCTTTTACAAAACTGTTAAATGATTTCTGAATTGTCATTTTAATTGTCCTTTGTATTTATATGTATGTATGTATGTATGTATGTATGTATGTATGTATGTATGCAACAGTATGATATTTCATGGTAAATTAGTATGTTATCAGTTCAAATATTTATCATTCATTTAAGAATGTTCAAAATTGGGCTGGAGAGATGGCTCAGCAGCTAAGGACACTGGCTGTTCTTACAGAGGGCCCAGGTTCAATTCCCATCACCCTGAGGCCAACTCTCACCTATCTGTAACTCCAGCAATGGGGGTTCCAGCACCCTCACTCAGACATACATGCAGGAAAAATACAATGAAAATATTCAGTTCTAACCTCCCCCCCTACCTGTAGTTAACTAGCTACTCTTAAATATTCAGTTAATTAGCACTTGTAATCTGTGAGAAATGGAACCCTAAGTGATGGTGCAGACCCATAATCCCGGCACATCCAGGATGAGGCAGAAGGATTGTCAGTTTGAGGTCAGCTTGGGCGACATAGCAAGACTTTGTTTGAGAGACAGAGAAGAGGGGGGTGAGGAAGAGAGAGTGTTAGAGAGAAATGGAAAAGGAAGAAGGTAGGAAGAGGCACACAGGGTAAAGACATTCATTCACCACTGGCAGCAGAACACATGAACTTTCCATTCAATGAGACCAACAGTGTAATGGCTGCAAAATATCTCAGGTCACCTAGGGTCAGGTTCCTGCCAAAGTGAGTGGCCCACAAGGTGTAGTTCTCAGGTATGTGGAGCCTATGGGCTTAAAGAGAAGGGAGTGAGGAGGAGTCATTTGTAACATACCTGGTGGGCATGCCTCTTACATTTATTTGAAAATGACATTTCAAATGACACACAACTAAGATCAAGTGTCAGTGAAGACGGTTCCTGCTGTGATGGGCATGCTAAGATGGAGAACATACAGAGATAACTGATTGGTGGGACCCTCCACGCTGATCCTGTGGTTTCCTCATGTGTCAGGGGCCTGGCACCCCAGCACCTGTCAAGGTTTTTCAGGCTGCCCCTTTTGTGAAGAGGGAATATTTACCCTGAGGAATCCATGTGCTTTCTGTCCCTTGTCATGGTCTGCTGCGTGCTCTGAGCTCCCTGCCTCTAAACTTTCCTCCCTTCCTTATTCTATTGAATGCTTTTCCTTTCTTATTAACTCTATTGTCCAAAGTGATGAGCTTTGAAATGCCATTTTCATTCAAGTTTATCATGTATATTGGCAGCATTTACTGTTACCTTCACCTGTTACTAATCTGCCTTTGGCTAACAGTCCCCTCTAACTGTGTGCGTGTGTGCGCGTGTGTGCATGTGCGTGTGCATGTGTGTAATCTAGGTTCCACATTTGAAAGAAAACACTCAATATTTGTCTTCTAAGTCTGACTTATTTTGCTTAACATGATGACCCAGAGTTCCAACCAAGTTCCTGCAGATGACATGCTTCATTCATCTTTATGGTGGAATAGGATTCCATTGTTATGTACACCACATGGTCTTTATGCCCCCATCCATTGATGTGCTCGGTTGCTCGTTCCATATCTTAGTTATTGTCAATCACACTGTGCTAACCATGAATGTACCAGCACCTCCCTGACACGCTGAAGGGGGTTCCTTTGGGTATATGGCCTGGAGCAGTGTAACTGGGCCTTACAGAAGTTATATTTTCATATTTTCAAAACTATCCATTCTGATTTCAATGGTGGCCAGACTAACTTACATTTCTTTGAGGAACACATGTCCCTCTCCCCAACTGTTTGTTTCTTATTTCCTTAATGACGGCTGTCCTGACCGTGTAGGCATCTCTGTAGTTTTTTTTTTTTCTCTCTCATTCTTGAACATGACTGCCATGCTGTGTGGGTTGGTCAACCTTGAGCAAATGACTTGACTGTCTAAGCATCAGAGGTGGGGGAAGAAGCCAGGGAACACAGAGCTGAGGACACTGGTGTGGACCAGGAGGTGAAGTAGGTCTGTTCCTGGGTTAAGAACTTTCAGGTTTCTGGGTACAGAGTGATTCTGAGTGAAGGTTTTTGTTTGTTGCTTGTTTTTTTCTGGGTTTCTGTTTCAACTTCAGCTGTTTTATATATTTCAAAAGAAAAATCAGGCCTGGCTTGAGGTAGGCCCACCTGGTAAACAAGCTTTGGTCCTGGCAATGCAGGGCAGGTGCCTTAAACAGCTTTGGGATGGAGATTAGGAGGTTGGAATTAAAGCAGTGCAGGGAGAGGCTGCAGCAGGCTCCATGGTACCTGTATGCATGGGGGCGCATGGCTCTCATGGGATAGGTAATCTGAGGTAAGAGTGGTCAGGTCACATAAATGCACTGTGGACAGTCTCACTGGGGTGCAGTAGCTTCCTGCTGAGGCAGTTAGAACAGGTGGGTTCCTGAGCTGGAGCAGGGTGGGCTCCCTCCTCAGGGACAGCACAGCAGGGTCAGCTGAGAGCAAGACTCCATGAAGGGGCTAGAGCTGCCTCCAACCTGGATGCTTCCTGTCACATGCTCCCTCCCTCTCCTCCTCTCTCCCTCCTTGCCTCTCTTCCCTCCTGGCTTCCATTTTTCAGGCTGGGTATTGAGGAGCCTCCTGAGAATTCACCCTATTACAAGACCAGGACGGAGGTCCTCTCTGACCCAGGCCTAGAGGACTCTCTATGTTCCCCCTTGGGGTTCTCTTCTTGTATCTTTGACTCCTCTGCAGGCACTCAGCAGGGAGCCTCTGGCAATACTAGGCCATGTGCTTCAGGGGAGAACAAGACTGATTACCTGTGGAGGCCATGACAGCTGCTGGTCTTGGGGTCACTCAGGGGATCCTGGCAGGTTTTCTTACAGCTCAGCTGGTGTCCAGGCTGCTGGGGGAAAAACAACCTGTGGGACAGAATGGGGACAGCTGCTGTGACCAGGGGATTTGGTGACCCACAGGTCATTCAACATGGCTGCCAAGGACAGAAAGAACTTAACCCAAAGCATGCCTCCTTTCCCAGGCTCTGTGACTGCTTTTTAAAGAAGTCTGTCTTGTGGCTCCAACCCCGCTACCTTCTTTCCAGACAAAGCAGAGAGCAACTGTCCTGTTGAGACAATGGAGAAGGTGTCAGGTGAGTACACAACTGTGGAGAAACAACAGACCCTGCACACAGAATGAGAGATGGAGAGGAATTTTCTGGTACCCACCTGGGTATGGGAACTGTGTTTGTATTAATGGTAATTTCTCTTCTCTTTTTTTGGTTCTTTCTTTCTTTCTACCTCCCTTCTTCTCTCCCTCCCTCCCTTCCTCCCTTTCTTTCTGTCTGTCTTTGTTTTTTGACATAGGTATTCTCCGTGTAACCCTGAAAGACCTGGATCTCAGTCTAAAGTCCAGGCTGTTCTCTGATACAG